TGCCATGAAGCTAAAACACTGTTTTGACATTGGAATGCTGGGGTCTTCTGTCCCCATCACCAACTCAGATGGCACAGTTTGGCTGCTGAATCTGCCTTCTGCATAAGATGAGAACCCAGATGCTAAATCCTTCTTCTGCAGTTTGATAGGATGGTGACAGTGTGCTTGGAGTTTCACTGATGTTTTTGCACAGAGGGAGGCACGATTGAGTTCCAGATGGTTAAAAATAGCCCACAGTCTTAGGTGCCTCTAAATCCTGGTTGACAATTTTGAGACATGTTAAGGAAATATGAGTAAGTTGAATAAATCCATTGAAACTGTAAGCTTTTTTCTTCTCCTTTCTACAGACTATGAAAAGCTACAAAATGGATGGGCCACACAGAGGATTTTGTCTCATTATTAATAATGTTAACTTCAATAGTTCTCAGAGGAAGGGTTCTTGCAAAGATGTTGGTAAGTTACTGAAGTGAGATTTTTGGAGGATCTCTGTTTCTCCAGGTGAGTTGATTGTGTAGTACTGCCCTATATTTTATTGTCTATGGTTAGTTAATATTCAAAAAGAGTGAAATGCTTGATATGTGTTAAATTATGTCATTTGTTTATCATGGGGGAGGAGAGGATAAAGGACAAGTAACCACAGGATTTTTCTGTTGGATTATTCTTGAATAATTTTAAGAATCACTTTTTACTTATCCTTTATCTACAGCTATAGTAAAGAACTAAAACTAAACTAAATTAAACCATCATTCTACCTAATATAATGCATAAATCTGTAATCAAGCAACTCTGTGCATACTTCTTACTTGGTTCTGTTTCCTCTATTTATCTCTTATGAATAGTCAAAACTGCAACTGGAAAATAATGATGTGAGAAAGGTTTTGCAAGATCTTTTCTGAAACTGGGGAAGGGCAGATTCTTTCTGTTTTCAAGTGTCATTTGCATGTTCACTTACAATGACAATGTATGCACTATTTTATGAAGCTTGTCTAGAAAAATCCAGGAACTCTGTGTTTGAGCTGATGCCATCTTTTTTTAGTCCAGTTAACCTTTAGTTGGTACTAGTATGAGGATGAATCTGCAGAAGTGTCAGGGTGTAAGGTCTTTCCCCCTCCCAGATTAGCTTGCATGGTGACTTCATAAAATGTTTTTCTCTTGCCTCAAATTTTCCTTTTGTCTTTTATTTATTTATAGAGCAACTGGAGAGAGTATTCACATGGCTTGGTCTGGATGTGAGGACTTACACAGATCTGACGTCTGGGGAGATTATCAATCTCATGGAAACTTGGCAGCGTGTGCCAGATCACAAAGACAGGAACTGTTTTATATGTTGTATTCTATCTCATGGAAAGTCAGGAGCAATCTATGGAACAGATGAAAAACTTGTGTCAATCCGTGTGCTTACATCCCACTTCACTGCCAAACAATGTCCCCAGCTGGCTGCAAAACCCAAACTCTTCTTTATCCAAGCATGCCAGGGTGACAAGATACAGTGTCCTGTCTATGTTGTTACTGATGGACCAACTCCTGACTTGTCTTCCATGCAAGAGAGAGTTTTTCTTTCTGAAAGCATTCCTGAAGAGGCTGATTTCCTGCTAGGCATGGCCACAGTTGATGGATATGTCTCTTTCCGGCACATGGAAGAGGGCAGTTGGTATATTCAGGCCCTCTGCAGCAAGCTGCAATTGTTGGTACCAAGGTAAATACTTGGCTTAGTGCTCTGATTAAATTTTTCTTCTCCAAAGGTAGTTTATCTAGGAACACCCACTCATGTTCTAAGGTAGATGGAATTAGTTGAAGTGATGATTTCACACTGATTAATTTACATTAACTCTGCTAGTACCATACATGTACTGTAGAATGTGAAGTTTATTGTGAAAAAACACTGAAAACCTCACATCTATAATCTTTAAGACAACACAGTTTATTGAATGATAGGTTAAAATATTTTATTCCGCTATTTTTCTTTATTGATCGAATTAAGCAAGACAGCAAGAAAAGGTCTTTTGGTTTTAGTATGACTCAAATAAGGACAAAAGAGAAATTTGGAGAAAAGTATGTGTTTTCTTTTTTGTGTTTTAAATGTTCATACTCTATCTTCTGGCTGATCAGGGAGATGTTAAGTGGATTGCCATCTGCTCACTAATAACTAATTTCTTTTTTTTTTTTTTTTTGCTCTCCTTCTGGCTGTAGGGGTGAAGATATTTTGTCAATTCTTACAGAAGTTAATGAAGATGTGGCCAGACGTGATAGCCCTTCAGGGACAAAGAAGCAAATGCCCCAACCAGCATATACCTTAAGAAGAAAATTTATATTCCCAATACCTATGGCCCCTCCTCCTTCAGAGCAATATCAGTGCTTTTAATAAACAAAATTTTATCATCTCATTTAAATGCACTTCATCACACTACCTATTTTAAGATATTTAGCCAAAACTTTGAGAATCTGTTAGCTTCGATGCAAGGCCTTATAAATTTTTTGTCAAACAAACTGTGAAACTGGAGGAGAGACAAAATAATCAATGTGCCAGCTATTTACATCATCTCTATATTCAGAGTTATCAGTGTTGGAAAAACCACACTGAGTAACTCATGTTAAACATTTTTTTACCTGCACAGGCTGCAGATACAATAGGTTGTTCCTCACAGCATAGGGATTGCATGTAAGCTTTCATATTTAAACCAGGATTGTTAATGGTCTGGTTTAGATTCATCAAGTTTTATTTTGCAGGCTAACAATTTAAAATCCTGTTTCTAAATCCACTAGTTATGTTCATAGAGAGAAAAAAATGGGAATGAAGAGACAAAACCTTAAGTAGTAAGTGGAAAAGGATTTCTTCAATCTCTAAGGAAAATTACATTTAACTTAATAAAGAACCAGTTTCCAACTGAAATCAGCAATTTGTTCCACAGTGCCCCCAAATGTCTAGCATAAGCTTCAAGTACAATGAAGTTTTCCAAAACTGAGTAAAGCCAAAATGCTGCTTATTATTCCCTCTGTGAAACCTTGCAAAATGTTATTTCCCCATCACTTCTGAAAAAAATTTATGGTAGAAGATTTGCATGCTGTGAAATACAGCAGTCAGATTAACTTTGTTAAGCCTTGCAGTTTTAAATTATCATTTGTTGGTTTAGGATCTAAAATGCAGCCAATTTGTGAAGGCTCCTATGGACTAAGCTGCTGACAGAATTTTGTGAGTTAACTGAAATAATGTCATGTCGTTTTGTTATGAACACTTACTACATATGCCTGTGTCTTTCCTGTTTGTTATTACATGAAATTCATACTTTTAAAGAGCTTGGTGAGATAAATATTTTGTATTGGGGTAAGGGTTTGTCCTTGTTTCTGACTGATTCCTGCACTTTGTTGGGCTTCGTGAATCAGTGAGGTTTTAACTGCTTTAGGGTTTGAGCTGAAGTGAAACTTCATCAAAATACTCATTGTTATATAAGATTAGCAATACCTTAAGGTGAAGAGTGAAGACAGGAAAGAGTACTGTCTAGTGCTATTGGGTGCAATTTATAGCTTGCACTATTTTTAGGAGGGGAGTTTTGCATCATACAGAGCATATTGAAATGCAGCCAGTTTTCCAAAACATGATGGTCCCTTTATGATAATGAAGTGGTATTGCATTTTAATACCCATTGCATTTTAAGTCTTCTGAGTTGGCATGGTTACCACACTTGAAGTCACATTTATGCCACAGATAAGAAAAATGTTTCATCCTTTAGTGGAATATATAACACTGGGATGGAATTGTGATGTTTCTGGCTTGCAGTTACTGTTCAGACTTGATGCACTCATTTTGTATGTTTAGGAAACAAATTTTTATCAGTCTGGAGTAACTATTGACTTAGTTTTGTGGGATCTTGTTTTCATTTTTAGTTTGGTAGACAGGGAATGCTATCATGCTCTTTTCCTTTTCTGTAGAGACTTCTGCCTGGGTAATCACTGGGTAATATCTAGTGAAATCATAGATAGGTAAAGGCAGTCAGAAGAGTCTCAGCTTACTGAGCCTTGAATTCCATGGGGGGAGGGATCCACCCTTGTGAAGTGTGAGACTGGTGAAGTCTCCCTTGCTCATAAGAAGTTTGTTTAAGCAGAGTTTACGCTATCCTGATGTGGACTATTCTGTGTATTTCACCTGTGTGTGTTGAGGGCTGTGTTCATGTGGCTGCACAGTGTAATACTTGGTGCATGCAGTGGTACTTGTCAGTACCAAAGGCATGGCAAGCTGGAACTGGAGCTGCAGCTGCCATCCAGCCACTTAGGCATTTCTGTGTGGTCTCCTGCAGGGTGTTGAGAGATGGAAGTTTGAAACTCTTGAGGAGAGTGGGTTGGTTTTGTACAACTCAGCTATTCATCAGTCCTTGCTGTCCACACTGTACACCTTTCCTGTATCCAGTGATACAGAGCTGTGCCAGAAAGATACTGGTCACAAACACAAACAAACAAAGAAGTGTGGTCGGTTGCTGTTGAGGCTTACTGGTAGCATACAGACCCATGCACCCATTCTCCACCTACAGAATTAAGGAAGGGTTGTGTCTTGTGCAGCCCCTGCATAGACAGATTTAAGTGGAATTAGTGTAAAAAGTCTTCTGGGGAAGTTGCTGTCTTGCAAGATCATGATCTTAAAGTGGTAAAAAAGTGTCCTGGTCTCCTGTTCCTCGTGTCATTTTTGTGCAGGAGCTGTGTGTCCCGCCCTGTGCCAGTGCAGGTGATAGTTTTTCCAGTTGCTGAGCAGGCAGGAGCTGCAGCAGTTTTTCTTCCTCAAGATCACCCTTTCTAGGGAGATGAAGTTTTGGCAGGCTGTACAAGGAAAAGACTGGGTCACTGAGACAGTTCTGGAGGAAACCAGAGTGCAGGGGAGCCGAGGAAAATGAGAGACACTAATTAAACAAAAGGACAGTAACTTTTCCAGGGAGGCCGAGAGGAAGAAATCAAAAGTGAAACTAATAGTGCCAAAAGGGGTGGAACTTCAAGTTGCTGACTGAGAGGAGAAGCCATTATCTGTCCGTCATAGTGCATATCACGGCACAGGGGCTCTTTCAGACTGCGACTGAAGTTCTGGTTCAGGTAAGACACAGAAGAAATTACGGAGGGAAAGAGTGCTGAGACTTGGAATGGCATGGAGACAAACATTTTGGACCTGAAGATGAAAGAGTACTTGTGGTGTTCCTCTGTGCTGTTCCCAGCCTTTGGATGGTGGTGTAATTCCTGCCTGCGAAACAAGGTTTTCTGATCTGTTACTAGGGTGTGCCTTTTAGAAGGAATTGATACACCTCATTCTATCAACGGATGCGGTATAGTTTTGAGTTTGTAAAGATAGATAGGTTGAAATCCATCAATGACTGTTTTCATTGCAAAATTTTAACAAATTTCAGCACTCCTAACTCACTTCATAATTCTGCTGTGAGGGTCTACTGAGTCTGGTAGCCATACTGAGTGCTGTTTCATTTCCTGCTTCATGGAAGATTCCAGCGACTTGCATGCTGGAAGTCTTTTCATTGAAGGCTAAATTCTTTACTTTAAAGAGAGTGAAGATGTAAGAAGTTAATTATGTTCAAATTCTCCTCTAAATGGGGAAGTATATTGCATAAATAATTTCAGAAGACTGTTCAGTTGTTGATTTCCCTGCATTTACTGAGTGCTGCTACTAAATTTGGTGCTAATAGTTGGCTTTTTTTAAAATTTAAAAAATACCTTCCTGTTAAACTGGAGTGAGTTGCAGAGGGACTTCAGAGAAAGGGGGTAAGTCATGACAGATCTTGTGATATAGCAGGTAACTGGGATTGAGATTTTTTAAATGAAAATATGTAGATTCAGCCATCTCTGGTTTTTAATTAGGATTTGTGTATGAAAGCAGAAGTGCTGAGCTGTGCTTATGCTAGAAAGCACTAGGTATGCTGCTTAGTTGTTGCCGTAAAACAAGAGCAAAACCTGATTACTTCATGGCTTGTTTACCATTTTTTTCTCACAAAGTCTGTAATAATCAGTTTTCTGAAAATGGAAGTAGCTGAAGTAGGGATCGCTTGCTTCATTAGCATTTTATTCCTTTTTTAGCATTTTATATATGTTATTGTAACATATTTCTTGGAAGTCATGTGATAATACTGTATTGTAAAAAAGGCAGACTTTTCCTGAAACTTTAGAGATTGGCTGTCTCACTTTCTTCAGAGTTGTTCTCCCATGTAAGTGATTTAAAATTACTACTACAATTAATATTATTTTTACTGGTATCAGTTGTGCCTTTAAGTTAGCAAACTGGAGAAAAAGACAGTGGCACTTAAATATTGTTTTAATTGTGCTCCCTGTAATTACAGACAGACTTTAATGTAACATATAGGTGACACATCTGTTCTAACTGCAATAACTTGATGGGTTTGAAACTTACAGCCTTTGAGAAATAAAATGAAAATTCTCTTTACAAGAAAGTTTTGCTTCTATAAGCAATATCTCATGTATCATAAATGAAAGACATGATTTATGTGAGAAAGAAGATAACTTCATAACTACCTCCCAAGAAAATATTATTCTTTCCTTTGTAGTTACAGAAATATAAAGTCAAGTAATCATTGAGGTTAAGCACATTAAGATACTACTGGCTTATATGGGCTGAAGCACATGGATTCTTGCCTGTTTAAAAGTTTGGTTTGAGTGGATTTAAAGAAAACAGTATTTTGGGGCACAACACAAATTGGACGTGCTGTGTCACAACATGTTTCACTGTTTATCAGTTTACTTGAAATGCAAAGGTTTAAGATTCAGTTATACATTTACTAGATTCACTTGTACATTCACTCTTGCTAACCCACACAACACTTACCAAGGGCTTGCCACAAAAAGCTCCTTTGCTGTCGAGTGCTCCTTGGAGGAGAGCAGAATACAATTGTTTGCTAATTATTATTTCCAGTTAGTCAGCTGGACTACCTTGGGGTACTGTTACTGAAAGATCTGCAGTAGCAGTAAATAAAATGGATTTCAGTATTCCAGTAGTGCAGCAGTAGGAAATTCTCTTTTGTCATTGTTGCCTTTTCTGTCTCCCATTGCCAGTGTCTGTAAGACAAGAGACCTGTTCTGAATGCATTTATATAGTTTCTCTTCAGAGATTCCCAGGTGTCTGACACCTTGGGCAGAGAAGGTAAAGTGGCAAATGGGTATCTTACTAGAAGGAAGAAGAGACAGGTCGTTTAAGTGCCAGCTGTAGGCTGATTTGTCTCAAGCATGCTGAGCATTGCTACAGGAGAGCTGTGATCAGGGGAGGTCCTGAGGCAGTGGGGCAGCACTGGGCTGAGCCAGCTCCCTGCTCCACCCTGAGATTTGTGCTCCATCCCCCAGCTCAGCTTCCTTCTGGGGAAAGGGTGTCAGTGCACATGTGAACAAAACACATGAGTCTAATTTAGATAATGGCCATGCACCAGGTTAACTCCAGCAGGACACGGACTGGGCAGATTGGGCACACACCCCTGCCCCCCTTTATGCCCTTTCTGTTCTCTCTCCATCTCCAGACTATCCATTTGGCAGCATCAACACAGAATCTAAGGACTGGGGATATTCTTTGCTTTCTTCTCTTTCTTGGCTTTCACAGCTATAATATTTTACCCCCTATTCTATTTTGAAGTTTGTTGTGGGAGGGAGGAGCTTGTGGAGATTTTTGTGGCTCGGGAGCCAGCACCTTTTGAGGAGTTTGTTGTGGGATTTGTGAAGTGTACTGTGCAAAATTAAGGGCTTGTTAGCCTCCCCTCTTGTGGGAGTGTATTGTATAAATTTAAGGGCAGGTTAGCCGATACCTTTTGAATTTAAATATCAGGCTGGGCTGGTTGCTGCAGTTAAGAAGATGGTACAATCAAAAAATGAGACCTCCTGACACATGTCCAGTGTCTTTGTTCAGCTTGAAAAGAGTTTGTAACAGACGCCAACATGCCCATGGTGTCAGCAGAGCTAGGTCCCTTCAGTGTCAGAGGGGATAGCTGGAAGCTTGGAATTTTCTAACTTCCTCTTGTGCTCAAAAGTTGAATCCATAAGCCAAGTTAATTATTTCTAAAGCTGATGGAAAAAGTGGAGGAGAAGGGAGGTGATATTCTATGCTCAGTGAAAGAGCTAGTTTGATAAGAATTCTTCATGGGCCTTTGTAAAAGGGATGACATGATCTCTATTTGCTTTTAATATTACAAATTCATTGAGAGCTGGGAACTGAGTTTACTTGATGCAGATAAACCAAACCACGAAGAGGTGCTTTGGGTAAGCTGGCCAGAAGCAGTATGAAAAGAAAGGAGAAGCCAGATAGCTTAGAGTATACTAATGTGGACTCTCAGTTCTGTTATGGTGTAAAATTTGGCAGTCTCATTTATTACATAGTCTATATTTCAGACTGGCAAGTGGCTGTTTCTCCCAAATGATAGCAAACTTCAAAAACCCCAAACCCGAAGAAAACCAGCAGCAGCCTGCCAGGCCTTTACATCCTATACATTGGTACTCCCCACTATCTAGACACACCATAGGAAGCAAGAATAATCTATGACTTTCTCTGCTAATGTCACTTAGTGCAGAGGTTTCAATATCCTTTGTAAAGTCCAGAGAACTGAAGGAGTTAAGCATCAAAGCTATGATAGCAAGACAGCCCCTCTCTATGGAAATACTTCTGACTGCATGTATTCATTTTGGGCTATTGTACATGATGTGATACCTGTTACATAAATCATGTTGTTGCACTCACTTACTGACAAATGAAATCAACTGCTGTTTCTGTTTAGATCCAAATCCTGATGTGAAATGAGTACAGAGTTCCGCAAACTGCTTTTTGAAGTTTCTGAGGCTTTGGTGACAGAGGAACTGTCAGCTCTTAAATTCCTCAGCCTGGACTATGTCGCCAAGGGGACGCTGGAAACCATCCATGAGCCCAAGGCCTTCTTTGAAGTTCTGCAGGAGAGAGACATGATTGAGGCAGGGAACCTGTTCTTCCTGAAGGAGCTGCTCTACCGGATCCGTCGGATCGATCTCCTGTCTGCCCACCTGGGCTCCAGCCGGGAGGAGATGGAGAGGGAGCTGCGGGTCCCGGGCAGGGCACAGGTGTCAGATTACAGGTAAACACGGGAACATGCACATTACAAGTTCTGTGTCAACTGTCTCTTCTGTCTGCACTTTTGTCTTGTGAATATCCCAGCATAACTGTGTTTATTACACATGAATTCCTGCCATTGTGAGTTTTACATTTTGCAGTTCAAATGTTTAATTGTGGTGTTTACTTCTTTCTTGAAGGTCTCTCTATTGTTTATTGTCAGGCAACTGCTGTATGAAATTGCAGAGGATTTGACTTCAGAAAATGTCCAAAAAGTGAAGTTCCTGCTCCGAGGACCACTACTAAAGAGCAAGCTCCAGGAAAATGCTGTATGAAAAGTAGTCTTGAGAAGTTTTTTGCAAGGCTAGTTCAGAGTCCTCTAGTTCTTGTAAGAAAGGAGGAAAGAGAAAGAAAGAGAAAGTCTGCTCTCATGAAAATCTGGTTTGAAAGAATTGTGATGTTAGCTAAAAACTGCTGTGTGAAAGAATGGATCCTTATTTTTTGCATTGTATCTTTGCCTTTTTTTCTCTCCTGATTCTATTTTTTCTCCACCAGCTGTCTCTTTAATCTTATCTTCTTGCAAAATCCATCATGCTCTTCCTTTAATCTTTGCTTGGCATTTATAAGACAAATGTCTTTATAAGAAATATGCTATACCTAAAAAGAGTGATGTTCACTAAAGGAAAAACAATGTTTTGGAGACAGAAAATCAAGTTCTAATGTGAGTTGAGTCACAAATTTTTATGTGTCAATGGGTATATTTTCTTATTTATTATAATTTGGAGTAACAACATACTGTTAAGTTTCCCCAAAAGTATTAAGAGGTTGAGTGAGCTAGTTTAATATTGTAATATTTGTAATGAGCTGTGTTATAAAAAATGCTTGGTATTATTAAGAACCTTCCTTGAAAGTCCTATTTGTATTGTGGCACGTAGAGGAAAATTAGCAGATTTACCTCCAACTTGGTGGACAATGGAGCTTTAATAAACAAAATTAGTACCGAACAACTTTCCTGTGATGGAAAATGGCATAGCTAAAGAATTTAGCAGCACTTCATCAGAACACAAAGGCACAAGAGGATGTTATGTTATCCTCATCAGTGCTTTGTACTGCTGAAAAAAGCAGGATAGCCTAGTTATAGGCAATTTCTAATTGTCCTGCTTTAACCTTAGTGATGATGGGTTTATTCAGTTGCATTGCATCTTGATCCTTGCTTTAATGAGTTTTGGAGGAAAAAGTAATAGGTCTTTAGCTGGTCCCTGGGAATGAGGATGTTGTCTTCTGCCCTGCTGCAGAAGTCTCTGGGAATGAGGATGTTGTTTTCTGCCCTGTTCCAGAGCTGCCTGATACTGTGGTTATCAAAGGTCACTGGATGAGTTTGGTTCATGTGTTTTTGTTTTACCAGTCAATGTTGCAGGTCTTTCTGGAAATGGAAATAAATGGGATAATTGAGGAAGATAACCTGACAATGCTGAAAGATATATTTCAGGGATTTAGAGCTGACTTAAAGAAAAAAATTGATGCCTACGAAGAAAAAAAAAGAGGTAAATTTATTTAAGCTGTTTAAGAACAGATCTGGGGTCTTTTGCGGGTTTTATACCTTCATCCTTGGCAGCTTAGAAGTCCAGTAAAATGGAAGAGACCTTATGGTACCCTAGGACAGGCAGAATGGCTCTGGAGGACTCTGATTTCTGAAGTTTTCTGCTACTTCATTATCCTTTATTATCATTATTTCTGCTACATTCATTATACATGGATTTTTGTATCTATCCTTGAAGTATGTTCTGTCCCTTGTAAATGGCCTTCTTCTGCCTTCTCTTTGCCTTAAATACAATTTATCTGTTCAGGAAAAAGTGCTGGTTTTGGACCAGCATAACTTCCAAGTCACTGCAAGAGACAGGAAGTGCCAGATGACTTAGGGAAGCTTGTGTTGGGAGATTGTCAGCACTATCTCCTGTTAGCCAGGCCCTTTGCTCTCAGTCAAAGGGAAGTCCCTGAAAACCAGTCACTTGGCTAAAGTGTAACTTTCTGTAACCAGATGGAAATTGCAAGGACTAAATGTATATCCTGGCCATTGCAGCTGAGGTGGTGCTTTCTGGCACCACAGCTGGGTGTTCCTTTGGGAAACAGGATTTCTCACTCAATAGCAACTTCCTTCTGAAGGACTCAGGTCGTGAATTTCCTCAGAAACATTTAAACAATCCATGCAGTACCCTGCAGAGCTACCCAGCAGTTCTCCCTGCATGTCTTTGTGCTGCTCTCCTCTGCTGGTGTCTCTAAAAGAGCAGAAGATAATTGCTGAGGTAGGCCATTGCCAAGCAAGTTCTGTGTTGGGGAATGGCTCTCTAGCAGTATCGTTATTATCTTTTCCTCTTGATAAGTAGAATTAAAAAAGCATGTTTTGTAGAGCCCTGACAATTAAATTTAATTTAAACTCGTTTTTGTAACTTGTAAAATGAGTACTGTGATTTTGTGTCCTTGGTTAGAGTCATGGATTTGATGATTTCTTTACTTTTTTCAGAAATTTGTATTCAAAGAAGTGCTCTGAGGAGATCTTTCATTATGCTGGTATTTTGCATCCTTGCATCCACTCACACAATAAAGTTCTCTGGAGAAGGAACAGTGGCCTCAGAAGTAAATGGACCAGCATTTTTTACTATTGTACAGAAATGGGTCTCCTCTTTCACTTCTATATCACACAGTTGAGAGGCTGGTGAATGGCTTGCCTGGGATGACTATTCACAGTTAACCTTTCATTATCTGTATCTTGCTACCAGTAAAAGAGCAGAGGAGCAGAGAAGCAATGGAGCACAGCCCTGCATGGCTTCTATAACAACCAGTAGTCTGTGAAACTGGAGCCAAGCTTGGCCCAGCTCTACAAAATGCTGGTGTCTCACAGCTGTGAAAACTCCCTGCACCTCACTCCTTGTTCTGGCTTTTTGAGTGTTGAAATTTGCACAGTGGAAGATTTATCCTTGTGGTTTTGAAATGTTTGTTTATCTTCTCCTTCTTAGAAAAGTATTCCAGGGAAGAAGTCCACTATCCTGTGTCTGTGTCTGTGTATCCAGAGGAACAAGGAGCAGAGGGGGAGGTAGCAAAACAGGTGAGAAATGCCTCAAGAGTACCTTTAAAGTATTTATCCATCTCCTGGGAGAGGGAACATAAATTCATAACACTAAGCAGGTGGAACAGCCAAGATGGAGGGGTAGGCCTTGGAACAATTCTTATTTTCCAGACAAGACCGAGCCTTCTTTGTGGGGACCTGATTGTCAGCAACCTTTTAAGCAAGAAATGAACAAACAGTTGAGTGAAGAAACCAATCTTAATGATAATGGAGACTGGGACATTAAAGTCCTGGCCAGGATACTCCTAAACAGATGTGAAGGGAATAGCAGAACCCCCTACCTCACTGGAATTGCACAAGGACCCTCAGAGGAAATGGTGGGGTGCAGGAACTTTTCCTATGCATATGCAAATTTGTGTTTCTGGATCCTTTATCCCATGTCAAAATATCATGACCGAAGAGACAGAAGAGAAGGGGTTCAGGGAGACAATGCAGATTTCTGTCCTCTGTAGCTAAATTGTATCCTTAGGCTTTTCCTTTTTTGTTTCTTAGCCTTTGTGATTTTCTTTTGTGCTTAGATAATGATGGACCAGCAATCTGTATATAGTGTATTTTTCTTTTGAATGTCTGGCTTTGCTTTCCTACCTGTTTTTTGTTTGTTTGTTTTGTTTTTGCAGTATGGGAAAATATATAAGATGAAAAATAACCCCCATGGTTACTGCTTAATTATTAACAACCATATTTTTAAAAATCCACATCACAATAGAGAGGGAACATTGCAAGATGGAGGTAAGTACTTTTTAAATTCAATTACTGGTTTGGGTTTTTTCCTCTGATAATTCTCAAAAATAATAATCTAATCTTTGCTGTGAAGAAGAATCATGGTACTCTTTGGCTTCCAGAGACTGGAGTGACAGTCATGGTACCAAATGGAAATATATAATTTCCAGCATTTAGCTGATGGCTTAAAGAAGGATCTACTTTTTGTTCTAGGAAAAAGTTATTGTCTTAATTTGTTTTATGTACAACTAGAGAAAAAATTATTATTATTCCATCTTTCCAGTTCTTGATTGTTTTCAGTTCTTAGCTTAGAAAAATATTTTAAGTCCTCAATTTCTCTTCAGTGCTCAAATAAATGCTCTGTAACTTTCCTTAAAGCCTGTCTTTCTGCAATCACTTTTAAGATAAACAAGAATAAAAAAGTAAAGTCAAGTTCCTGAAAGGACAAGTCACAGATATTTTAACTCCATCCAGCCCATTTACAAGCTGCTTTCTTCCCAGGTACTTCCTCTCTGCCCATACAACAATTAGGCCACCATTTGCTGAAAAGTCTTCCTAGCATTTTGAGCAGTTTACTCTGATTCCCTTCTTGCTGCATCAACCATTCACACAGAATGAGGGACCTACTTCATTTAAGAATGGCAGGATTTGTCATTCGAAAGAGGTGGCACTTCTTTTAACTTGCCAAGTGTTGTTCTTAGGCATCTGAGACTACTATGCAATGCATAGTTAAAGCTTGGGTTAACACAGTAAACTTCACTAATTTGTACCAATACAACATAGAATCTAAAATCTGTTTTTGTGTTAGACAGTATGATACTTAACCCAGTTGTGTTTAAAAAAAATAAAATTAGGCAAGTTAGGCATTTGGGTTTTTCTAATAGGATTTGGCAGGCTAAGAGCCAGTCAGGTGATTTTACTGATGGGATCTGAACACTTCTGCTAGTATCTGATCTACTACAAAGACACTGATGTTTCAGCATCTTCCTTGTCACTGTGTATGTTTAACAAGTTCCTTCTGATTTTTTCCCCAGAGGCTGTGAAGAGGGTCTTTAAGTGGCTTCAGTTTGAGACAGTTGAGTACATGGATCTAGAAGGAAAAAAAATATATGACACAGTTGAAGAATACAGCAAGAAAGATCATAGAAATATGGACTGTTTTGTTTGCTTCATTTTCTCCCATGGTGAAAAGGACAAAATAAAAGGTGTTGATGATGAGTGTGTAAATATTGAAGCTTTAGTCTCCCGCTTCACTGGAACTAATTGTCCTTCTCTTGCTGGCAAACCCAAGGTGTTTATTATCCAGGCTTGCCAAGGCTCTGAACGTCATCCATCTGTTGCAGTAGAATCAGACTCTTCTGGACATTTTGAGGTGGATGCTAGACCTTCGACTTCCATTCCTGATAGGGCTGATTTTCTGATTGGCATGGCTACAGTGGAGGACTACCTGTGCTACCGCAGTCCTAATACTGGCAGTGTTTACATTCAATCCCTCTGTGAGAACATGAAGTCGCTCTGCCCACGGTAAGTACTATTTCTAATTCTTGTACATTTAGAGTATTGCAGATGTGCATACTTAAGCATGCTGTGCTGAAACACAGTGGTTTGCATTTGTGCAATTAATGCTTTTGCCATTCAGGACAGTGGAGAACAGTATTTATTTTGAAATTGGGCACTGTCAGTCTTCTACAGATAAGCCAAAGTATAAGTGACTTCCCCTGGTTTTCCTGCAACCAAACCAGGGTTGTAATGCTGCAACGTTACACACAAACAAGCGTGTGTATGTGTGTTTTTTAACATTTTTTGACTGAGAATTTTTTTTTCTTCCGGTGATACCTGACTAGAGGTGAATTTGTTCAGTGATTACACAGACAAAACCCCCCAGTGCTGTGCAGGCATAATTTTCATTGTTGCCTCCCACCCATCCCCTCATAAACTTCATTTAGAAAATAGAATTTCCCTTCAGATATCATTTTCTCATGGCGTCCAGGAGATGGAGAATGTGTAGGTTTATTTCATCTTGGCGACCTCTTCTGGCTGTAACCAGAGCAATGCTAGATGGAGGTTGCTTTTATTTCCCCCAAACACACTGAATTCTGTGGTTATTCAATGGAATGTGCAATTTCAGTGGCAATAGGGTGAGGAAGATACCAGCCTTCCCTGGCATACCACTTTAGTGGGGCAAACACACATCAACATCTTGGCTGAGCTGCAAGTAGCATATATCTCAGTGTAACTTCATTTTTGTTCAAGGCGCGTGGATCTCACAACCATCCTGACAAAAGTGAACCATGAAGTGGCAACAAAAGACATAAAAGGATTTAAGCAAATGCCAAAGATAACATCAACACTACTGAAGCTATTGATCTTTGAAGTTCCACAATGAAAAGCAGACAAGTAAGAATACACTCGGTTAGGAATGACATCTGGGCTTTGACAGAGAAGTGAACTTACATGAGAAATTATCTGGATCTATGTAGTAGCCCTAGCCCTTTAAGGAGGCATAGGACCTAAATTTTTCAAATTCCATATTGAATCAGTCTTCCAATACCTGGATCTGTAAGAGTCGGGTAAGGCTGTGGAAAACTACAAATCATCATGCTTTTTTTCCTGCAGAAGCAGTGGAGTATGTTCAATCTGGGTTTCAAGTGAGAAAGGACTTCCAAGTAGTACTGTAAAAGTTATTGGAATTGTCAATAAAGTCCCATTGTGTCTGAGTTAAGTCCCTAAAATCTGCAAAAAAAAGAACAGATTCAGAAAGCTGGATGCATTCCCAAGCAGCATGTGTTAGGTTGTAACTGCCTTACCCAGAGGTGAATTGTTGTCTGTCTTTGGAAGCTACAAATGTTCATGGAAAATAACATCCTGCTCCAGAAGGATCAAAACCCCATGATTATGTTAGTTTGGTTCTTTTCATCTAAATATTTGGTTTATGTCAATCATCTGCTTGAATAAACAGCCCGACAGTGTAAGTTTTTCAATAATAAAAGTTCTCACTTTGCTATTTCTCAGAGTTGTCAGAGCACAGTGTCTTGAATGAATGTGGAATACTGGAAAGAAGTTCTGTAATCATGTTTCTGTTAGAATAAATTCTCTTGGTTTTTATATCACCTCAGTTTGCGGTGTGTTCCTCTCTTGGATGAGCTTTCTGAGGGACAGTCAGCATGACAAACACTTTTACCCCACAGAAGTAATTTTGTTCTTATTGGAGTATTTGTTGGCAGCCACCCCAAGGGGAAGCAGCTGGAGAGATGGTAGGAAAGAATAAGTTCAGGACTGTCATGATAATGGCAGCTGATGCCAGTAGGACAATTCAGTAACTGCTTCCTCTGTGAGAAACTTGCTGGAAGATGGCAGCAGCTGCAGAAGTGAAGTTGTACATCTACAGCATTTCTGTTTCGCATATTTCTGTGTAAGAGTTCAATACACTCAGACCAAGTTCTTTCAGCTATTCTACATGAGACAGAATTGGATATCAAATTTAATTATTTGGTATCTTTGGGGATACACAGGATTTTGATTTGGTAGGGTAAGACAGCTACATAGGTGTGCTATCTGTCATGACCCTGGACATTCCCAGTCATGGTGGAACGTGGGTGGAAGCCAGCTCAAGCCCATTGTTCTTTTCAAACTTTAAATGTTTTATCAGTTGTCCAGGTTTTATACTTTTATGTTGGGGTGGGGTCAGCCACTTATCCACACCCTCCATGGTGGTCTGGCTTGCTCAAGAAGGCATTATTCCTTGTTAACTGTCTTGGGGTACCTGATGATTCACAGATGCAAATGTCTCCTCTAAAACTAAGGTCACTCTCCAATCCTGATGTTGAAGTAAATTGGGCTTTCTTTATTACCTGTTCTTCCCTGAGATGGTGTGGGTTTTTTTGTCCTTCTCCTCTGAGCTGTCCTTCACTGGAAGGGGGAAGGGGGGTCTATAGAGGGTGCTGATCAGTCACACCCTGTGATTTAAATTAATTTAAGTGATTTGGTATTTTGTTCTGCCTGTTAAAATCCAGCTATCTGCATAGTATACCATTATCACTCGTGGATGAAGACCTACTAGGAGGAAGAGAAAACCCCATCAAAATCCTTTAAAGAACCACAGAACAGCCATACTGTGAATTTATATGTAGGTCATGCAGCAACCAGGCAAGGAGAAAACACACTCTGAGTTTTGTGTTCTGAGAAAAGTGTGGCTGGTGGGTTTTTGCACATATTTGTGTCCCTCCCACAGAGCCGAGTGGTAAGAAGGAAGTCGGTTCTGCAATTTCCTGACTGTTTTTTCTCTCTAGTACAAGCTAGACAACAGTGAGTGGCAATTACTTTTTCTCTGTGAAGGCCCTCAGCTTTGTTTTTACTTTGCCTTTTCTTTCCTACCAGCTCATGGCTGGGAGGCCAAATCCAGTCAAAAGCCTGGCACTTAATTCTATTTCGTTTTCAGACAGCAGAAGCACTGCCACCAGAAAGTGGGGCCAGAAGTTTGGTAGGAAAGAAAACTGAAAGCAGACAAGATCAGAGTGGTGCTATTTGAAAAGGAAAACACTTGTAAGAGTTGAGCTGTTAGCTAAAGAAGAAATAATGCTGTCCAGGGGCACGAGTCCTTGCCCAGTCATTCACATTTTGCTACCTATTCTTTCAGTTTAACAGTAGTGTTGAGTGTTCAGCCTTTTTATTCTGACCCCTAAAAAACGTGGGCATATTCTCTCTGAAGTTATTCAAACCTGCCTCTTTTCAACTAGAGATATGTCAAATTATGAACAGAGAATGGCATGTTTAATCTTCAATGACTTCTTTGCAATGTGCTAAGAAATATAAGTGAGATCTTTGGGAATTCATTCATTCTGTGTGTCCTTTCTGCAAGTGTGTCTTTTCTTGTCACTCTGTTCTGTTACTGACAGCCACTGGAACTCCCCAGGCCACAAACATGGCTGGCTCTTGTGGATGCCAGCCACACATGGCGTGTCATCCTGGACACATCTCCTGAGCTTGGCGTAAGTCTTCCATGTCAGTTTTATATGTGTAGCCACTTTGTGTTTAGGTCTGATTTGTCCAGGTATGTGAGTGCAAAGATGGATCCATATGTCCTTAGAACAAGATAGCAAGACATTGAAAAGTGCCTTGCTTTTTGGATTCTTTCCACCTTTGACCCAACTTGCCATGCATATAGTAACCAAATATCTTGCATAGGGGTTTGAACATTGATAAGCCACTTCTAGGATAACAATGTACAGATTTCTGTTTAATATATTGTTAAAGTGGTTTTTACTGGATTTTTGGGAATGGGATGCTGGTTTCAAATCAGTGCTTAGCAAAGATAAAGAACATTGGTTCTTTATTGTACAGTATAATGTGCTGAGGGTTGCTCTCTGGCTCAAAGTGAGCATTAAATGAGTTTTCAAAAGGATGGAATTCCGGTTGGTAAAATCTCTCCCCTCCTGTTGTGAAATACATCTATCCATGGTGCTGCACCAGAAGGTGAAGTGGAGATGGTGCAGCATCCCAGGGCCCTTCACCAGCGCAGTGCCTGCTCTTGTTGTAGAACTGTCCTGAGCAGATGTGGGATGGGTGGGAAGGGAGCTGTTTTCCATGGCTGGTGGCTGTTCGAGACCGAACGCCTGCAGGGAGGGTGCTGCCTTTTCTGACAGCAGCCAGAAGGCTCGCAAGGAGGAAGGCGAATCAGTGGTGCTATAAAAGCTTCCTTCTCCTTGTATTAAAATCGCAGTGGTTTAGCCTGAGAACCAGCGAGAGGCGACAGCAGGAAACGCCCGGGCAGAGGGACACCTTTGCATCCGCACTAGCCGGTTCGGTTTGCTCAAGAATGGGCTCTAGAACAGGCGGAATTGGGAACAGACAGATCCCAAGACACCGCGTTCCCCAAGGAGCTGTGGGGTATTTCGCTCCGGAAGTTTAAATCCAGAAGGAAGCACCGCCCCGGGTCGGGTCGGGCTCCGCCCTTCGCCCTCCGCGGCTGTGGCGCGGCCATGGAGCTGCCGCGGGGGCGGCTGCTGGCGGTCAGCGACGAGCTGGACGGGGCCGAGCTGGCGGCTCTGAAGTTCCTCTGCCGGGACCACGTCCCCTGGAGGAGGCTGGAAGCCGTCTGGACCCCTCACGACTTGTTCGAAGCGCTGCAGGAGAAGGGCTTGCTGGAGCCGGGGGACCTGGCCTTCCTCAGGGAGCTGCTCTACCGCATCGGGCGGATCGACCTCCTGGTTGCCCACCTGGGCTCCAGCCGGGAGCAGGTGGAGAGGGAGCTGCGGGCGCCGGGCGGGGCGCGGGTGCCGCCCTTCAGGTGGGTGAGGGCGCCGGGCTGGGCCGGCCTGGCTGCGCGCCTCGTTCTGTCCGGGACAGCTCAGCCGGGCTGAAGGGTTTCCCTTCAGGCGGTCCTGGGCCTTGCGTCCTCCATCTCAAACGGGAAAAAAGGGGAATATGTTCTGAGGGGACAGTAGACAAGAGGAGCGGTGCATAGTACGGAGTTGTACTTGGAAACACGATGAAACAACGCCCTCCACTTCTTTTTCTAGATACTTGCTCTTTCAACTGTATGAAGATGTCGTCGAAGATGAGCTGATGTATTTCAAGTTACTTTTGGCCAACGAATTGCCAAAAAGCAAGCTAACCCGTGAGACTGTAAGTATCTCTGTAATACTTTTTAAAAATTATTACTATAATCCATAGAGGCAATTGGGTTGCTTATGGGGGAATGAGCTTCACTCTTCTTTATGGTGTCACTTTTAAGATGAAAACACCACAAGAAAAGGGTGCCCCTGGTTGCACGTGGGACTTGTTTGTGCTGGTGTCAGGCACAGCTTTTGCAGCAGTGTCACAGCCAGCTGTGCCAGGAGTGCCAGGCACAGAGGCCATCAAATCCAACACATCCAAGCATCACAGGGAACTTAGGACACTCAGTGGCCTTAATAAACACAAAACTGATAAGCACATTTACTTAGCCAACAGACTTTTTTTCTCAGTCATTATCAAATATAGAAAGTGATCCACTGTGAATATTATTTTATATGTTTTTTAAAATGCCGAAAATACAGATCTAAGCAGCAGATTCTTCTCAAGGCTAAGTCAAATAAGCTGGAATTTACAAGTAGCCTTGCAGATCCAGTGCTTTTATGTTGTCCCAGCCTGTCCCAGTTCTGATTCTTTGGTACTTTGTTCTAATAAAAGTTTTGAGGATTTTCCTTCTTTTCTTAGAGGGGAGACTATGAGAGCTCTTCTAGTAAATTCTTGGGGTGACCACTGTGCTCTGCCACTCACTGATGAGTTTCTGTCCCTTGGGTCCCCTTTTGCTTCAGAGCAATCTCTATACCTCACATGATAGTGTAGAGATTGCTCTGAAGCAAAAGGGGACCCAAAGGACAGAAAACCCTTTTTGCCAGTGCTTAAGATGGTCACTGCAGTAATTCTTCTGTTTCACTTGAGTGCACAATAGCCACTGAAAGTTGAATGAAAGCAATCATTAAAAATATTGTTACATTCCTGTAGATGTCCTGCGGTAGATCTTAATTAGATCTTGGCACCTCTGAGCTACAGAAAGGAAATGAGTATGTTTTGGGAAGATGTTGGTACTTAACAGTACTTGTAGGTTTTGTTGAACTAGGATTAACTGGCTCAGCTGAGGTCTCACCTGAGCTCCCAGTCAGCTGGATTGACTCTCTGGGCCACATGTGCTGTCAGTGCATTAAAGCTTTGGTGCACATGCTGCAGCTTTGCTCCCAGTGGCAGCATGGAGGTGCCCTGAGAACAAACTGCCTTTCTGATTACCCAGACAATGCTTGACGTTCTCACTGAGATGGAGAAGAAGGGCCTTCTGGGGAAAGACAACCTAAGTATGCTGAAGAGTCTCTGTGAAAAAATTAACATCAGCCTGTGGAACAGAATTGAAGATGGATTAAAGCCGTTTGGTAAAACAGAACAAACCAGCCTCTTCCCCATAGTTATTTATTCTTGAAGTGATGTATAGGTGTTGCACAGCACTGATCATGAATGCTTTGCAGGCCAAGAAGAGATGCTCATCACAGAGGAACAGAGGGGCAGCACAGGATACCCTGAGGGGCATCTAGTGTCACCTGTAGCACCTAGTCCTCCTGGCAGTTTTAATGACTCTTCCCAGGTAAGTTAGTTTATTTCTTAGAAACATCATGATTTTATCTTAGAAGAACTCACCCCTCCATGAAGTGAACAGTTGTTCTAAGACCAACTGTTAAAAGCCCTATCTAGAAAAAGAAAAATGCACAACTCTGCATCCTTTATTCTGAAGTTGTGTCACAGGCACAGCTGCTGCAGTGTTGTACTTCAGAAACATCTGCAAGGATAGCAGGGTAGGCTGAGTTTATGATACCAGGAATTAGGCAGCTGGCTTGGCACCAAGATATGAGTGAACAGAGCACCTTGTGTGGGCTGAGTCTGACTTTGGTGGTCCTGCACAGACTGCCAAAGGCAGTGGGGCAGGGCACTGCCAGGCCCTGGGAGCAAAGCTGTTGAGGGGGAGCTGCCTGGAGAGGAGGCCAGCTGGCTCTGGACCCTGCTCTGCCACTCACAACAGCTAAGGAGCACTTGGAGGAGAGTGTAGGAGCTTCACCAGGAGTCTTTCCTTTCAGCTGCTTGAAGCATACAAAATGACCAGCCGACCCTGTGGAGTGTGCCTGATCATAAATAATCACAATTTTGCAAAAGCTAGGGAAGGAGTGCTGGAACACAAACACATGAAAGATCGGAATGGGACAGACGTGGATGCAGGTACAGTGAATGTTAAAGATGAGTTTGCCAATCCTTAAAAATAGAAATCTTGTTTCTCTTTCTCAAGGTCTGAATTTCAGTCTTCTCTTTCTAGGATTACTTTTGTTGTAGTGGCTCAGTTGGCTCGGTTTAATGTGCTGACAAGTCCTAATCAACTCATCAATTTATTAGTGCCTGACACTGAACAATTCACTTGCATTTTGCAGTTTTAGTGAGGTGACTGAAACCTTAAGCAGCACCCTGAGGCTGGACTTTACAAGCTAGGCTAGCTTTGCATCAGCCTTATGCATACTAATTCTAAAATATGCAGAAATATGCAAGAAAACCTTTTAATGCCAGTTAAGGGAACCCAGTAGAGATATGATTAGTGATTAGACTACTAGAGTATTTTCAGACCAGGAATGTAGCTACATGGATGTAGTCATGTAGCAGATGACCAGTTATATCTAGAAATGCAATCTGCAGTTGCAGAGTCCAACTTCCATATAATGAAATGTCTCAAATTTCCCTTCTCTTTGCTTTCCAGCGGCTCTGAGGAATGTCTTTAGCAAGCTTCATTTTACAGTAGAAGAATATAGAGATCTCACTGCACAAGAAATCCGTGAGACTGTGAACATCTTCCGGAGTGCAGACCATGAGGACAAGGACTGTTTTGTTTGCTGTATCCTGTCTCATGGGAAAAAAGGCATTATATATGGTGTTGATGGGCAGGAAGTACCTATCAGGGAACTGACCACTTCTTTCACTGCACAGAATTGCAATTCACTTGCTGGAAAACCAAAAGTTTTTTTTATTCAGGCCTGCCAAGGTGAAGCTTTCCATCAAGGTGTGACCATTGAAACAGATTCTGGAGAGCAAGATTCTTCTGTGGAGCAAGATGCGAGGCTTCAGCTCGAGTGCATCCCTGCAGAGGCAGACTTCCTCCTGGGCATGGCCACCCTGCAGGATTACGTCTCCTACAGAAGTCCCAAGGAGGGAACCTGGTATATACAGGCACTATGCCAGCGCTTGGAGTACAGCTGTCCTCGGTACCTATGTTTCCAAACGATTATTTTTGGCAACACCTGAATTTTTCTTCTGGATGACAAGAATTTGATTTAGATGCAGAGGTAGATGATACAAAGTGGGAATACTTGCTCAGAGTGAAAACAGTGATGTAGGACACAGCACCATGCAAACTGTTCAAAGCAACTTAGGGAAGTGCTCTGAAGCCTATTAAAAACAGGAGCTGTTAGCACTGGTGTATATCAAGGTAGCAAAAATGTTATTTTGCTGATGTTAACTGCCTAACACAAACTGTACTTGTTTCTTTGCAGAGGGGAAGATATTCTCACCATCCTGACAGCCGTAAATCAAGAAGTGAGCAGAAAAACTTGTGAGCGGGGCACAAAGAAGCAGATGCCACAGCCCAGTTTCACCCTGAGGAAGAGGCTCATCTTTCCTGTCAACTAAATGGGAGGCAACTGCAAGCCAGAGAGAGCTGCTGCAGCCTGGAATTGGCTGGTTTCAGAATTCAGTCAAACACAGACTTTTAGTTCCTGCTCTTAGCTCAAGGGCAGATATTTTTAATTTAAACTACAATTAAGGAGAAAAAGCCTTAAGAAATTTGTATTGATACATTAATTTGTATTAATACTTGAGAACATCTCTGAGCTTGTCTCTGATTTATCTCTGATCTGTTTAGCTGATCTCTCTCAGTGGCTTGCTGGCAAAATTCTACTCAGTGTCTTCTTATCAGCTCTACCACATTACTACTGCTTTCATAAGGTATTTACAAGGCAACTTTTAGAAGACAACTGTTATAAAGCTTTGTGTACTTTATGCCTAACCTTTGCAAAATAAAGGGAGGAGTGCTGTAAATTTTATAGGATATAATCGGCTCATATCTGTGTGTTTTGTTACTTGTTCCATGACTTAGAATCTGGCTTGGTACACTTCAAGGTCAAGTTAAGCATTTGTTACCTGGCATCCTCAGCAGGATCTGTCTCTGACCTGGATTTCAGTGTATCCTCTACGTAGAGTAGTCTGAACAGTGAAAATCAGTTGCTCTGGTACAGCTTCATGGTTGAATATGTCCAGTTACCCTATGTTCACTTACCTTTAAGTCTTAGTTCTAAGCACAGAAAAAGTCACTAGGTAAGTACCCAGCTCCTTAAAACATTTTAGATTGCCTTCTTTGGTGAGCATGCACAAAACTGCTTCAATGTCTACTCCCATCTGTCACAAATCTATAGGGCTCACATAACATCAGCTACTGAGATGAAAAAACAACTGTGGTGGTGTTAGTCAGTAATGCAGTGCTAACACTGTAATGCTAGAGGAACACACTAGCTGCTCTAAAAGAGGGGAGGAAAAAACCCTAAAGCACCACCCATGCACAAAACCCCCCGAGGTACCAGAAAATATGAACAGATTAATTTAAAGTGAGGCTCAACACTTAAATACTGTCTATATCAATTAAATACTGTCTATATCAACACTTAAATACTGTCTATATCAATTCATTGGCTTCTAAAGCCACCTTTTCTGTAGATACCAACTCACTTCACTAAGCTTGTGTACAGTATAATAATCACTATAAATTTTAGCCACAGAAAAGGCCCGATTTTAGGTTTGTTATAGATCACTGTACTAGAGAAGATGACATCTGGAACAAACCACAGAAGATCATCAATATACTGAAAAATGGCATGTTATACATGTTTATTATCAAATTTACATTCCACTATGAAACAGCAGTAAGTGCAAAAAGCTGATGGAAAAAATACCATGAAAATCCCAGACTGTTCAAACACTGTGTAATCCCCTCATGTAACAGCCAAATGAAGCCCAAACTCAATTATTTTCCTTGCCTCTCCGTTGCTATTCGACTGTAGTAGATGTTTGACTTTGATCACAGGTATTTTGAGCATGCAGGTATCACTGAGTTTATTAAAAACTAACAGTGAAACTAGAAAGGTTTAAGTTTGTGCTTTAAGACAATCGGAATAAGGTAAATACAAGAATTCCTTTCTGTCTCTTGTAACTTGCACAAGCATGGTAAGTCCTTTCTAGCATCTGTGTTTGACTCAAACCTGCAAGATAACCCTGCCAAAATGTAATTCTCCATTCCTTCTAGGTCTACCTCTACTCAAACAAAAGATCTGGTGCAGGATGTTAGCCATGCAAATTTGTCACCTCTCACCCCTCTTATAGGAGACAATGAAAGCCAAATCATTCCTAGAATCATGGTAACTTCTAAAATGTTCTCAGAAACGCATGTTGTTTAAAAAAAGTTTATCTTCTAGGTTTTGGCACAAAATGGTAAACTTGGAAGAAGTATCAGTTTTACCTGTTACTGCAAGCCAGGCATGTATATCCAAACTGTGCATGACGATCCAAAGGCATAAATGCATGACAGAATTTGAACAACGCTGCACCACAGCATCGACCCATTGGGTAAACATACACAAACACCATGGTATAGAGATTCTTCCATTTTCTTTTTGCCTTATGTAAAGTATCTGATGATACACCTCAGCTACAAATCAAACTGACCTCTCAACATCCACAGCATTGTTTGAACTGAACCAGTTTATATTGCTGGGCTATGGAATAGGGAAGTATCCCCAGGAGACACATGCATTTCATTTATATGCTTGTAGATTAGTTTTACCTGAACCATGGTCTGCCAAAGGAATTCTGCCTTAGCTGATTTGCTACGCTGCTGATCCAGTGCTGGAGTTATCTTATGAAGCGATTAGAAACACAGTGTAGTGCCTTCAAAAATTTATCTGTAACTCAGGTATTCCTACAATAAACACATAAAATGGACGGATTTTGACATGCTACACACTTCTCTGTTGGCACCAAACTGTCTAAGCTTTTGCTAACTCATTTCCCTGGAAGGTAGAGATACACTGCAGACATACCCGTCCCAGGCCACTGGAGACCAACATGGCACTCCCTCCTTTCACTTTTATGTAGCTAGGCAAGACACCATGCTCAGCTAAGTACATGCAAACATAAATACTTACATGAAAAAATTAAATATTTTTCACTTAAAAAACAAAATTAACCCGTATATAGTCTTTTAAATAAAATTCACCTTTTGTAAGTGTAAGATTTTGCTTAGAGAGCAAAAGGCAACTCCAGGAGTTCCGGAATATTTCTGTGCGCTGCTGACAGACAAGCTTCTGCTAAGAATCCCTGTGCAAGTTTAAAGTGGTTACTCCTTTTCCTTTTACAAAACAAAAATATCAAAAATCATCACAAGATCTAAAGAACTGTAAAACCAGAAAGGCCATGTTACAAATTTCCTATAAACAAGGGTAAGAAGCTTTCTTTTCCTGCCCTACTCCATTCACCCCTGCAGCAACGAGGGTGCTGATTATGGAGACTGTGCCTAATGGCAAATGCAAATCAGTGTGATTGCACTGATGCTTCACACCACACCCCCAGACAGCTGCCAGCTACAGTAACAGGCAAGGTAAACTTAACTGCTTAATCTAATTGTATGGAAACAAATCATTTTATAATGTTGATAGGTACAGTGAAAATTTATATGAAGACTAAGAAGCTGTTTCTATTCAGGTCACTAGCAAAGACAACTTTTTCTTAAGTTACACAAAATATCTGTTGTAGATTGTTCACTTATGATTAGAATCTTGGACAGGAAGGAATCAAAAGAGCAGCATGGGCAGTAATATTTTTATAATTAACACTCAGAAACCAGATTTCTGAAATAAAGTTCTTTTTTGAGTTGGAAAGTCTACTCCAGCTATTTGTCAGAACCACACTCCCTCACTAATCACTGGATTTCAATATTTGTTAAAATGCTACAAAGAACACTGCTTTTCCCCTCCTGTTTCTATACAGAGACTGGCAAATTTTGCTCTTAGTGAAATCTTTTAAACAAAATCCTGCTTGAAATGAGAAATGATTGAATGAAAGGCATAAAGTTCACTGAGAACTCTCAAATATACAGAATGTGTACTTGGCAAGACAAGAGGCAGTTTTCTACACTTCCAACAATTTCCTTGAAGTAAATGCTCTCCATTTAAGTTTTTAAAAAGAAACCCTGAATCAAGCACCTAGGGTTTATTTCCTTTTGCAATGCTGAAATGTGCCTGAGATATTTGTGTGTGTGTGTGTATGTGTGCACACAAAACTATTCTCATTTAAATAAATGCACACTACACTTTAGAAAGATTTCTTAGCTGGATGTACACACTTTTCTGCTTCTTAATTCTTATTCATTGCACATTTCTCTGTGTGCTTTGTTCACAAGCTCTCGAAAGAAATTAACTTCTGTTAATACCTACCTAACACAATTGCACTCTTTCAAAATATAAATCCTGTGTTTGTAAACTGAAGTATTTCTTTCTTACACAGAGCTAAAGATTCTCTCCCCTGCTTCTCAAAGTGAGGAGGAGTTCAAAAGAGCACAGTTTCTGAAATGGAAAATAAAATAATGAAAAAAAAATCAAAGTTTTCATATTTGTTTGCTACAGAGAGGAACTTGGGCTGCTAATGCTAGTCAGACTGATTGTTATTTTAATATTATATTTAAATTATGTAGTCTGACTGCAAACAACTAGTAAACACTATGGATGTATGATGGAAAAAAATAAAATGCCTAGACATACAGGTTAAAGGGTTAAAACACTGAAAATGTCTACAATAGTCTTCACTTCTGACTAAATTAAGACAAGATGCTGAAGGGGGTCTTGAAATAAAGCTTTGGTTTTACCTTTCTATCTCCCACAAAAACCTTCTTCATCAAACCCAAGCAATGTTCCTTTGCTCCTTGGTCCCAACACTTGTCTCTCCCACATTTTAACATGCACATGCCTTCTCCAACGCTTCTGTAACACACCCAACAATGCCTGTACTGGATATTAATCCCTCAAATTATTTACTGTGCTCTAAGTCAAACACCTTTCAGGCCAGTTAGTCTTCCTTTAGCATATCCATTTTTGATGACTGTGTGCAAACAGGAGCTCCCAGTGCTCCAATCATGGCTGGAAGACTCTGGTTTCTTCTCAGTCCTGCCATTAAGTTGCCACCTGCATTTAAAAACCCAGCTGAGTCCTGCCTCTGCAAGCCAGCCTCTGGCCCCTGATTCTTGCCATGGTCCTGTGTTTCAGGGGGCTTGATCACCCTGGCAATGCCCAGCCTCTTCAGTCTGTCCACGAGGCTCATCTTCTGCTGGCCTACGTCCGGGACGTTCCGGGAGGGCTTTAGGCCATACATTTCCTGCAAAAACGTTTCTGCTGGCCGAGAGGCCAGGAAATTCTCTGAGTGATGCACTCGAGGCTCAAACAGCGGTGGGGAAGGACAAGGTGAACGCGAAGGAGAGTTTGGTGGAGTAGAAGGAATGGGAAGAGTTCGGGAGGGTTGCAGCAAAGGCGGTTTTTCTAACATGGGGCTGTCATAAACCTTGGCAGAGATGCCTCGTTCTTGCAAAAGTTTAGCCAGGCTGCTTGTGCTGCTGAAAGTAGTAGTTGAGTCTCTTCTGTTGGTGAGAAATTCTCCAATACTTAGTCTGTAAGGAATGGCTGGAGTGCTCACTACTGGGTTTCCAGTACTGCTGCCAGTATTCCCCAGTGAAAATGAAGCACCCATGGAGCTGAAAGAAAATAAAAATTAAACAGACAATATACACACATTAGACATTTTTATACCTGCTCTTCATATGCCTTTTAGTATACAAAGGCTCAAAAGAAAAATGTTAACTATTGCTATCAGCTGTGACAGCTTCAGTACTCAGAATTATTGTTCTGCTAAGTACCAATGAATTTACCTTCTGTGATCACCTGTACTCTATTAGCTAGAATATTAACATACCTGTCCAGTTTATAAAAAAAACATAACAGAATCAGAA